GGTAGACCGTGTGGTTCCTTATGACTCTTTGACTGTGCTTTGTAGATAGGGGAGGTTTGAGAAGTCAAGTTCGTTCATTATGCGTTGGGTTCCGATCACACGGTCGAGCTCCTCCTGGGCCTTACGCTGCACCCTCGGGTTCTTGATTAGTTCGGCCATCGCCCACTCGACGGATATTGCAATCGTGTCTATTCCTGCAACGAGCATGTCCTAGTAACGGAGATTTTGTTACATACACAATGAGTGACGAAATTAATTATATATTTTGTGACCGATTATATTTTGTAATAAAATATTGTATATTATTGTGACAAATACGTCTGCTTTTGCAAGACTCGGTCGATTTTAATCGTACACACTCACCCAAAGAAGGCCGATGATGGTGTCCTCACTGAGGTCATATTGGTCTTTTAGTGTGACCAAAGCATCAAAGAAGTGTTGTTTGGCGGCCCCACCACTCTTCCGGCGCGCGAGCGTGTGCTCTTCCATTATTTCACGCGTGAAACGGTCTCTTCGAGCTTCCAGTTCAACGAACTTTTTCTCGTCTATCGGGAACATCCAACGGAGCCACGGAATGTGCTCGGCGAAAATCATAAAGGACGAATCGAAATCGAATTCTTTTTCGAAAATCTCGTTCAACTCGTGGCCTTGCTTGTCGGTTATACCTTCGGAATTCACAAATCTTTTACCAAATGAAAGTCTTGTTATGTTGTTGAATGCCACTGCGTATATATATTTCTTCAATACCAAACTCTTTCCTGAGTTAACTGCAAATAAAAGTAATTAATTTTTTTGTAAAATTTAATTAATATATGAATTATTAAAATATAAATAGTTAAATACAGTTTGCACCCTTAAAGTATAGGAGTTCTAACAATTACCCAATAAAGTATCAAATGTACACTTTACACCCTCCATTAATAAATCCAATAATAAAACTTTGACTTTAATGACATGCAATTTTTCTTCTCATATAATTAATTCCCTTCCAACAATTACATATATAAAGATGAATATGCAATAATATGTTTTCAAATTTCTTTTCAAGATTTCAATTTTATTATAAAAAAAAAATTCTAATTTCATGGAAATGTTTTTATTTTTTCTTTATATATTTATATATTTATCTTCAATGATTAATAACAATAAATTTGGAATCATGCATGCAGCAAATTATAGATTCTAGCAAGTGAAATATTGACCATAAAATTGAAAATTCAGTGAATATATATTATGGCTGCAATGAACATAACACATGATTTAATTATTCAAATGTTTACACTACCAATGAAATAAAAATTCAAATTAATTTTTTCTTCGTAAAATTATAATTCTGAAACGATAAAGTTAAAGTTTTATTATTAGATTTATTAATGCAGATTTTATTCGAGCCCGAAAGAGTACAACGAAAACTCAAAAACTCAAAAACCCAAAATCCGAAACCCCGAAAACGTAAGCACAACGTACGTACAAACCTGGATAAACACAATCTCGGTAAATAGATTCCACCATAGCCGTGACTTCATCTTCCCTAACGGGCCTCAAAGCTTCGAGCCGCTTCGGCGAGAAAAGCTCCACCGTACAAAACTTCCTCACCTTCACATAGTGGGGCCCGTAGTCGGCCCATATCAGATCCTGGCCGTCTCTGCTGAACTTCGCCGTCGACCTGCTCCGGTGGCGGCCGGCGAGCTGCTGATCCTTCTCCTTCAGGACTTCCTTCGCTAATTCCGAGTTCGAAACGACGACGTTTAGTGTTGACCCGAACCACACGGACATGATCGGGCCGTACGACCCGGCCCAATCCGCGAAGCACCGGAACTGAACCGGCTTGACGTGGCAGAGGTTTCCGACCACCGGCCATGGACGCGGCCCCGGCGGGAGGCGGAAGCGGAGGCGGTGGTAGAGGCTGTGGAGGAGGAAGATGGACGGAAAGAGGAGGAGGAGGAGTAAAGAGAGATCTGCCATGGCGGAATTAGATGTTTCATGCTCTATGGATGTTATTACACTCTCTCTATATATATAGATATATAGATAGATACAAAATATGGGGTAAATATCAATATTAATCCTCCAAGTATACATTTTGTCTCACTTGAGTCCCTATTTTCTTAAATGTATGATAATAGTCCCCCATATATCAAAATTATCTCAAAATGATCCTTGATAAGTTAAATTTGACATCCTTCTCTAATATTATGCTAACTACTAGCTAGTTTAAATTTCTTGTAGTCCCATATTTTATGTCTTACCATTTTAACTCTTTTTTTTTTTTAATTGAATGTATTGTTATATTATATATATAAAAAAATTATAGTTTTATGTAGCAAAGATTGATCGAGAGAGATAATTGACTGAAATCAGTTGACTCAAGTGATTGAGAATCAATTGGCCAGCTGATTTCTAAGAGTTTAAAAATGCGCGGGAGGGATTTTTAAAGGCGACCGACTTGGTAAACCCTAATTGGAAAAGCTAGCTGGATTTTTCACTAATTTAAATTAGCGAAAAATCAACTACCTTTTTTTTTTCTCTCTCTCTTCCCTCTCGAGTTAACTGATTTTTATTAATCTAATTGACTCAACTAATTTTAAATTAGTAAATTAGTTTGACTGATAATTTGAATAGTAGAAAAATGACTTTTTACTACGACCATTAACCGTAGCAAAATGTATCAAATTCGTAGTAAAAAGACTTTTGCTACTCATTTGCTACGAATTTGCCCCGTAGCATATACGGGCGTGACAAAAACTTTGCTACGGTAAATAGCCGTACCAAATACTTTTTTGCTACGGTAAATCCTAGTATTTACTACGACTTTAAAATTGTTCCGTAATAAAAAAGTACCTTTTATTACGGCTTTTTACCGTAGCAAACAATTTCGTAGTAAAAAGCAAAATTTCTACTAATGTAAATTGAGTTAACTGATCGATTCTACAAATGAACCTTGCCCTAACACGAATATGCCACTCAATAACCGAAACGACTGTTTTAAAGACGTGATTAGGGTTACTTAGACCGTTAGACATGACAGTTAGCTGAGAAATATCAACCAATTTGAAATTAAAGATATAAAATTAAGTGATGATAGCTGCATATATTTATATATGGAATGACAAATTAAGTTAAACACTCATCTTCACGGCTCAAAGGGTGGTCGACATCGCGTTCATTTATGTTACCGTGATTATGAAGTCGATATATATAATGCATATTGTATATGATTTAAAGTTTAAAAAAAAAGAGCTCTTAAAGTTAGGCGTGTGAGTTAGAAATCGGACGAAATCGAAATTGGTCTTTTACGGAAAAGAAATAAAAATATAGAAATTCAAATATGAACAGTTCAGTTGAGTTTTTTATTTAATTCAGAAGTTTGAGAAGATAAAAATCTATTCCAATTCTGAATAAAACTTTAAAAGATTTGGAGTTAATGTAACTTTTCAACTTCTATAATTTTTGGAAATTTTTGAAAATGAAAGAACACTTGTTTCAGTAAGCATCAATAACCACTGGTATGATCAATTATAACATTAAAGTAAGGTTAAATATAAGAATTCCAAACGCATGCGACACTCGTTTTTTGATAACGAAGTATTGAAGAGTTTTTGTTTGACGAGAAATCACGAATAGTTCTTTGTGTTTACGAGTATTGAACAATTTAATTTGTGTGGCAGCCTGAAATCTAGTCTAAGAACAAGGTCTTGAACCGTGGGATTCAAACTGTGTTTGGTTGAGCTTATAAGTTGTTAAAAAGAACTTATAAGATGTTTAAGAGCTTACAAGTTTTCGGAATTTTTTTTTTTTTTTTTTTTTTCACAAGTATCTTAAAATTTTAAATATAAGCTACTTGGGGTTCATAAGCTCATTATCCAGACACTTTCATAATCTTTATATATAAAAGAAAGAAACGCTAGGGCAACTTAAGAAACCCTAATAACATATTTGCAAGAAGAAAAAAATAATTTATATATATCTCCTATTTTGCAATCATTTTCTCTAATTATTTTCACATCAAATTTCGACTTGCACAATTATAATTAGTGTTGTTCATGGGTCGATTATACCCGACAACCGACCCATTATCTGCCCGACTAATCTGGCCGATAATTGCCCACCAACCGACTCGTTTTGGTCAGGTTGATAATTTTAACCCACCCATATTGTATAGTTGGGTCCGATATAGTTTCTAATTATTGAACAGTTGGTTGGTCGATATTACCCCACCAACCAATTTTTTTTTTTTTTTTTTACCTCTCTTTGTGTTTTGACTGACCATTCAATTTAATATTTAATTTTTGACATTTCGGTGAAATGAATAAAAGTACATAACTAAAAAAGCTCTACTTTCATTTTTCCCTTCTCTTTGACTCTCGTCTTTCTCTCTATCAACCATAGTTGCCGATGTATCTCGTGTCTTTCTCTATCACCCCATCGCCGCTGACACGCCGTTGCTTCCTCCAAAGATTCACCTATAGCCCTCTCTAGTTCTTTCTGGACTCTAAGGTACATGCTTTTTTGTTTCTCTAATTAAAATTAAAAAAATCAGCATTTTGTATTGTGAAAGTGTGACTGGCCGAAAGTAATTCATTTTAGTATTTTGAATTATTTTTGGAATTTTAATTTGTAATATGTGATATTGTTGAAACTTAATTTTGGGCATGAAATATTGAAATGTCTATTGCTGAATTTTGATTAAGGAATAGCAGGAAATCTTTTTTTTTTTTCTTTCTTTTTGAATGTGGTCGATATTGACCGATAATTTTCAACCGACTTGTTTCGACAACAGACAAAGTCGATTTCCAACCATTACTCGACTCACAATAGACTGGACAATGCATGATTTAAGTTTGGGGGTGAGTTTAGTTCATTTTGATTTGGTCTTTTGCATGCGTATAATACTATAATTTAGTTTCGTTTATGTATTTCGATTTCCGTAATTGTGATATGTTTGTCACATGCATCTCATTTAAGATCGAGTGTAAGTTGCATTTCCGGATTCTATTGAAGCAAAACAATTAATGAATTAGTAGACTGGCTAGTTGATTTTAAAATTGAAATTGTGCATAATTACCAGCTAATAGTAGATGAACCTTCCGACTGCGTTTTGGCAACTTGTGTGGATAGCCTTTCGAATCATTTTCGATTAAGTTTGAGCGCACTTTTCTGAGGGGTATAATAGTCTGAGGTTTGGGGGGCGAGTTAAATTGAATTATGTGTTCACAATTCGAGTTGTTGGTTAAAAGTTCTATCAATGGTCTTTTCGTCTTTATGTTATGTTATTGTATTGTTAAATTATGTTTAAAAAAAAAAAAAGAGAAAAACAAAAAAAAAATATATGGTATTGTTGTGATTCACGCTCTGATTTCCCAGCCTTTCTGACTCGAGCTTAACCCGTTTGGGCACCTCGTCGCCTAGTCTCTCGAGCTGTCAAGCTTGGGGTTTCTTGGACTAAAGTTCGATACATGGGTCCAAGAGATAATACAGTGGTATCGAGCCTTGCACGAGTCACGATTATTCCCGTTTCAAAAAAATGGGAAA